GCACTAAGGTTCTTTCTTTCGAGAAGATGTAGTCTCGCTACTCAATTATATATATTTGTTTCTGAAGAGGATTCAATCACGTAGCTGAAACATGTTAAATGCATATTAGTTATTGATGTACGAGGTATAACATCAGCGATTACTTTATGTACAATTGAAAATATATATTTTGTTTTACGCACAATAAGTTTTGCCGTTGACTCATACATATCCTGTATTTCTAAACTTTTTTTATTTACAAAAAATCTGATCTGAACTGATTTAATTAATTAGATTAAATATTGACTCGCGTGCTCGCGATATCTAATCTACAATATGTAAAATCATTTTATCGATTTGTACACTTCGGTTTCGCAAATTTACGATATGAATTTAATTTGTGGAATTTATAGTAGTAGCTAAATGATAAAGCAAGATAAAGCATATTGCGCAACAAAATGCAATATGTATCAAAACCTCAACTAAGGCTGTATTTCGTTATTTACTGCAAATATTGAAAATTTATAGTTCATGTTAATAAGTGTTCGCAGTGAATAATACAACGCAGCTTAAATTTTAATAATTTTTTTTTACAGAAAATCTGATCTCGGAATTGATTTTAATATCAGAATATATCTTTCCTTCGTAAAAATATCTTGACATGAATTAAACGTATCTTGTTATTTGCAATGACAGCTTAATAAATTAGCCAAGTCCGTCAAAAATCAATTTTTCAAAACAAATGTTGATAAAAAGGTACTTTTGACGCAAATTCTGTTTATATATTTGAAATCAGCAAATTAATGGCACAGATATATAAAACTATGCAAAGCTTGTTGACAACCTGCAAATTAACCAACAAATTGATGATCTAATAAAAACCAATTTTTATTTGGTTTATGCCGACAATTTGCTCTCATATTACGTCAACAAGCTTTGTGAGCTAAACAAAAAACTTAATACGGATATTGATGCTAATTTGCTGAAATTTTTTATTGAATTTGCTAACAATTTGTAGGAAAATTGCCATCATTTTGCTGACTGGATTGCTGATCCCTAATTATATCTGCCATTATCTCGTTTCACGAAAACAAGAATTTAACTCAATAATTTTTGCCGATACAATTATAAGAGCTACTTTCAGATAAGAAACAAGTTCTCATTTATAGTAGTGAAAATATAAAATATAAAATATATACATTATATTTCTGCAAAATATGACTCGATGACGAAATTATTGAGACTAAACAACAGATTGAGGAAATACAAAAAGAAAAACTTACCTTCCACGTGCCTAGGCCGAAGATCGGCACTTCATAGCCGTTATAAAATTTCACTTTTGATGCAGTCAGAACCATTTTACTTTTATGTCAGTAGCAATTGTTATAAAAAAATATGAAAATCTGCGGATGTTGCTACGTGGAAACTGCTAGTGAGTCCGAACAAGACTGATACGCATTTACACTGCTGGCAGCTTCGCCTCGAACAGTTCCTTTTATAAACGTCCCCCACCTAAGAAGACCGGATTCTCAACGGCAAAATCGATTTTGCTACGCTACAGATGTGCATCTGTGTTGGTGTGCCGGTGTCGGAGATTTGATCGCCAACGCATCGCATCACTCGAAAATTTTTCATAATCTAAGTATATTCAGCTCGTTGAATATTCATCATTTGCGTACTCAAACTTTAATTATATTATTAACGCAGTTATTAACTTTTAACGCAATTATTAATCTTATTCTTAAGATAATCTTATATTTTTATAGCTTTTTGATCACAATTATGTATCAGTTGATTATTGTTACATATGCAATGTATCATTTGTTTGTTTAAAAAAATAACAATCTCTTAAAAAATGTTTATTCTGGTAGGAATACGTGTCTCGTGATTTTTGCATAACGACGATATTGTTGCTGATGCACGTTGGACACTCACACAACATATTAACAGCGACAGTAATACTGATTCAAATGACTGCGTAGTGGTGACTGAATTCGTTATCCGGCACCATGGAAAGTTACAGTGATCGTTTAGGATCTTTGGAGCAATGAATCGACCCTTGACGACTCCTTGCGGAAGAACAAAGTTTCATTCACAGTAATTTAGCATTTAGTAAAGTCGCTAAGTAAAGTTGATCTATCGGTAGTTATACAGCGAAGCTGTCGCGAAATAAATGTACTAATTGTTTTTAATTACAACTATTCTAATGCTTTATTATATCTTACTTTCATTTTTATTTTATTAGACATTAAATAATATCCATAGATCTTGCATTTTTCAAATATTGAAAATGTTTACTTAAAAAATTGATAAAGATATATATATATATATAAGAGGTTTTCTTTATCAATTTAGGAGCCTAAAAATTAATTGACTATTTATTTGGAAATGGATTATTAATAAATTATATAGTCTCTACAAAGAAAATTAAATTTAGAAGTATGTTTAATATCTACACTTCAAATAAACTATATATATATATATATATCAAAGTTATATGAATAAGATTATATTTTTGTTTAATAACACATTTTTGTAGTTTATTTATTTTATTTGTTATTATTTTTATTAAAATTTAAAAAATTATAAAGATTTACATTTTTCTTTTATAAGTACTTTAAATGTTCAAAATAATTCATGCAAAGTTCCATTGCGATTCGATTAGTTATAAAGATATAGACCAAATAAATATTTTATTTGTTTACTAGTTCATGCATCGCAATTAATATAAAACGTAAATAATCTTGAATTTATGTACTTATGTATTTATGAACTTATGTACTTATATTAAAAACTTGAGATTTGTATCAATTATTTTATAATACATTTCCATATATTTTTATTAGATTAAAAAAATACTACTATTTATTAAAATAACTTACGATCCAGGTAGTAAACCATCATCAAATTTGTCATATTATTTTAAAATGTAATTTAGAATAATCTATTATATAATTTTTTCATAACTTATTATTTTGAAAATATGTATAAAACATCCTTAAGATGAAACTTTTTATTTGTTTTAATAGAAAATTTTATTTTATAGAGAGGTATTTTAGAAATAAAATGATACTTCTCTTCTTCCACTTTTTCCTCTCCTGGTCCTTTGAATTTTACACGTCAAGATGAATAACATAAAAATTGTTGGGACATTCCCAGCGGTCTTATAATTAAAATATTTTAATTATTTTATTTTACCAGTATTCTACATCGGTCTACGCAAATATTAAAGCAACCTTTAAAGGCTAAAATATTGGAATTTACAAAATGGATGCAAAACGAAAATTATGTTTATATATGGTATATATTTCTAACTTTTTTTCAAGTACTATCTTTCTAAAAAAGAAAGGATTAAATGATAAATATAAACAAATTATAATTCACAAACTGTAAAAAGTGTTAATAATAATTGTGCAAAGTCAATCAGTCAAGCCATTTTTTCGGAATGCGAATTTCTCCTGTAATTTTGTAAAAATGATTTTGAAAAAAACAACTTTAAAGTTTTAAATTGATTTCCTATGTGTACGACCATACGCAAAAACATAATATTACATATGTGAAGACATATGAAATAATATTCTGTAATAACCAAAGTTTGTTTATTTCGGTTCTTCCAACTTGTTCCAAAAGTCCTAACACAATAACAGATTAGAAATTAGATTAGAAACAGTTTTTTGAAATAACCATAATGTACAGTTGGCTGTCAGCTCTCCTCTACCTGCTTGATTTTCTGTGCAATATCTCAGAAAATGTTCATTATTTCAAAATTTTTTTCAAACTCGCTTTGAGAATTTATTCTACACATGTGTAGAATTAAAAAAAAACGCAATTTTAAAAATATTGATTTATTTACCCTCTCAATGAGAAAGATTCTTTATAATTTTTTTACTCATTCCAAATTCTTTATTTTTCATATTTATAAAATAGCAAAATGCCTGACAAAGGTTGTCATAAAAGAAAAACATGTAATGAATATATGATAAAGCTACATATTATTAACTTCAAGGATATTGATTTACGTAATGACTCTATATTGGTTGCTTCTAGCACATCATAATTGTAAAAACGGTCAAAATATTCTTAGAATGTTTTAAAATATCCCCAATACTTACTTTTTACTTATTGATAGAAATGAATTGGAAAATTTTTTAGTACATAAGCAATACGATTCATAATATAAAAGATTATATTTTAAAAAATAAATCCACGAAGACTCACAACAAATACAATTTAAAATATAAAATATATATAAAGGCTAGAGAGCCGGCCAGATATTAATGTCAAAATAAAAGATTATACTCCGTAAAAATGGTAATCATTTTACAAACATAACGATTGGTATCGAAATAAGATTTTAAAGCACTGGATTTTTCCGTCAGAAGTTCTGCAGCAATTCTATCTCGATTTATCAATTGCTGCACGTAAGATTTTTGAGTGTAGATTAAAACGTGTTTTATAATATTTCAGATATATCATGTGTCATACGGAACGGACGAAAAATTGATTCGTGCAAGTAGTCTTGGCCCAGACCTTGAAATTTTTTGCAGCTAGCTGTAATTGGCTAGACCAAGGGTCGAGCGAGCTTCAAACATCATCTTTTAAAAGGGATACTAATATATGATTATTTTTGATGTTACGACTCATTTCCTGTTGTCTTCTAGATCAATAAATTATTCACGTTATATCAAAAAATGTCATGCTAAATCGTACAATGTTTAATTAATATATGTCTTAATCATTGTTTTATTTGTTCTATGGGTTATCAAAAAAAGAAAAAATAACTATTATAGCATTTGAAAATATTTAGTTATATTTCAGGCAAAAAGTACAGCTTTAAATAAGAAAATATTTTAAAATATGTATTGTATGTGCGTATATATAGTATATAGAATTCTTCGAAGTTTTTCATTTTTTATATATATATTGTAAATGTAAATTATATTTATATATATATATAAAATTTCATTTCCCTCTCTCCCTCCCCTCTTCTTTTTCTTTTTCTTTTTTCTCTTTATACTGATTTAAAACGGAATGTTAAAAGGAAAATATTTAAAATTCTCCGCACTGAAACATAGAGAAACAAAACAGTTATTTAAAAATATATATGTGTAGAAACAATAATTTATAATGTATCGCGTAATTCGAATATTTATATAGCATCTATTGTTCTTCAAAGTTCATTTTAAATAATCTATTTGCAATGATTTTTTGCTTACACGACATGTAAAATTGTATGTAGATTGTAGAATTCTGTCCTGAATTTTAATACGACTTATAGTTCATTTAAAATTAAAATTTAATGTACATTATCCAAAAAACAAAGTTATTTAAAAAAATGTTTAAAGATTTCAAAGTTCTAAAATATTCATATATGGAAGTAGATATGATAAAATGTAAAATACCTTGCATATTCTAATACTTACGGGGTGAAAAATGCTACTCTCTGTCCAGTGCCGAGTTTACGAATAGCATTCATTTCATCGGATGTTAACATGAAATCAAAAAATTCCATGTTTTCCTTAATTCGACTTTTAGTTACAGACTTAGGTATTGGCACAGTTCCGTGTTGATACTATAAAAATAAAATATGACTGTATACATCCGTTTTAATTACATAAAAGAAAGAGTTCTATCAATCTTAAATTTTTTTCTTACCACATATCGAAGTGCTATTTGCGCTGGCGTCTTATTGTATTTTTTTGCCAGTTGCAATATTACAGGATTACCTAATTTATTGTCGATGCCCGATACATTTCCGGGTTGTCCCAAAGGAGAATAAGCAGTTATCGTTATGTCATGTTTTTTGCAAAAATCTATTAATTTCTCCTGATTTACGTTTATGTTAACTTCAACCTATAATAGAATTTGTTTTAAATTAATAAGTCTTGCAGCATTAATATGATATAAATTACATTAATATAAGACCTTTTAACTTTTAAAAAATGTTTTGAAAATATACATAAAGAAAAAACATTTATTAAAAAGATATAAATTAATTCGCTCAAAAATGCAAATATAGAAAATGCAATAACATGAAACAAATACAATTAAATTTATGAAACGATTTAGATGATACCACATACCTGATTATTGACTGGAGCGATTTTAGCCGATTTGAGTAAACGAGTAATTTGCTCGGAGTTAAAGTTACTGATTCCGATGCTGCGAGTTAAGCTTTGGTGAACACACTCTTCCATTCCTTTCCATGTTTCTAAGTAATCGATATCCGATTGGCAAAGATTTCCAGCAGCATCTGAAGGCCATAAATCATCCCCTTCCTGCAAGATATCTCTAAATAAATATTACAAGTTGAAACATTTATCGGTTAAACATTCATGATTGTTTTTTCGTAAATAAGAATTTACTATTATTAGTCACTCTTAATATTAATAAGAAACAGCTATAAATATCATCTATATAATTGCATACTTCACTTTGCATAGATTAATAGAATTACTGGTGCATTTTTGTCAACAAAATCTTCAGTTTTTACAACAAAATCTTAATTATTAGGTAATGCTGTATAGTTATACATATATATCTGGAAATCAACTCATTATCGTATAACTCCAAATATGCTTATAAAAAAAAACAAAATCTTTCTCTATTTCATTCTATTTTACTTCATTGATGTCAATACTTACCTTGAAAGCAAATGGCCAATGAACTAAAAAGAGATCCACATAATCTAAACCAAGATTGGCCAACGATTGTTTGCAGGCCGGGACGACATGCTCTTCTTTATGGAAATTGTTCCACAACTACAACGAAATAAATACAATTAAATTTACAAAACGAAATATTTAATTTAAATTTTTATACTTATTGTGTCTCTTATAAAAAATGAATTAGGAAATTCGGAATTTAGCAAGTGGCAAAATAAATATTCGTATTTAGCTCTTGCTTATGTATTGTGATGCACTGATCTCACCTTTGTGGTAATAAATAGGTCCTCTCTGGTCACGCTACCATCTTTGATTTTGTCGCGAATAGCTTCCCCGATCTCTTTCTCATTACCATAAAAGAAAGCTGTATCAATATGACGATATCCTAGATCTATTGCGTCCTGAACAGCTCTTTTCACATTCCCCATCTGGGACTGTTTTTTTCCAAAAAATGAAGAAAAAGATACAAATTATGTTCCCTGGTAAAAATTACAGACAGAAACGGATAAAAAAAACATATAAACAACCTTACTCAATTGAGTAAGGTTACCATATCAAAATTTTCGAAACTAAAATTTACAGGCGAAACACTGGCCAAGACATTTCGCTTGAAATCCCAGACGTATATAAAAATGCATGCAGATTAGTAAAATTAATCAAAACAGTAAACAAATAATTATTTCAAATCTGGTTGTGTTTATTAGTGACACTACTAATTTAAGGAGGTTCTCGCGCTAGTTTCTAGTCAATAGACAGTTTATTCACAATAATATGTAAAATAATTAAAATAATAGAATGAAAAGGTTACTAACAATATCTTATGCCATTGTACATAATTATTGTTAATTTTATATGTTACTAAATATTTTCAAAATGTGATAAAATACAAGTTGTAAGATGCTCATTTAATGTATACACATCATCCATTTGACATATTCTAGTTTTTTTCATTGAAAAATATAAATTTCTTGTAAACTGTACGGTCAGTTTAAATGAAACTTTACGAGAACAAACGAACTTAAGTGTTTACTTTATGATTATAATGATTTTTAAATTGCTGTCTTATACGCAAGTGTCTCAATTTAAAACAGAATAATTACAGAATAAGGTTATATCTTCAACTTGTAATGTAAAATTCTATAAATTTAGAATTAAATATCTTCAAAATGGTGTGTGTACGGTAAAAGTCAATGAAATTTTTTCTAGATATTATTGATATTATTAACTTTTGCATTACATGTATATTATAGATTGTATATTATAGATTTGTTTTATTTTTCATCAAACGCGAGAACCTCCTTAACTGTGATTAATCAGTTTCTTATTACAGCTTAAGGCAGTGGCGGATTCAAGGGGAGGGTCATGGGGCTCCTCCCCTTGGGAGTTTCCCTTTTTAAAAATATTTATAGCAAAAGGTTATACATACTTTTAATATTTCTGAAATACTTAATCACAATTTTGATATTCCAAAAATATTTTTT